CCAAATAAACCATAAGTAAATATAAGAATAAAACTGATGAAAATTAAAAGCAGAAATTAATGACAAAAAAGATATGAAAGATTTGATTAATTAACCAAAAGCCCAAGTTAAAAATAAAATCAGTAAAATAGACAAATCTTAGGCAAATATGATTAAACAATAAAGAGAAAATAATGCTAAACAATACAGGAAATCTAAAAAGGAAAATAAAATACACAGGAAAATAAAAATTACCAATAAAATCCATATATAACCTCATATCAATAAATATGAAAACAACTGACATGGAAGATAGTTTCTGTGGGCAGTATATAAAGATGTCTACGTCATCATTTTAAAAGTTCATTTATTTTGATGTATATGTCACCATTTTAAAAGTTCATTTATTTTGATGTATATGTCACCATTTTAAAAGTTCACTGATTTCAATATTTAAATTTTCTCAATTATAATTTTTGTTACTTGCTCTTCATCTCTCAATTTCTGAAAGTTGAATTCTCCCATAATGATGTTGCTTGTACTAACAGTTTTTATTTTATATATATATATCTATTGATGCTTCCTTGTTCCTTGTAAAAGGGCTATTGTCTTTCCAGTGGGTTAAAATTAATATTGATACAAAATATCCCTCTCTTTTCTCATTTGAAGTTCTTCAATCTCAACTCTATTTGTCTTGTAGAATACAGCCATTTCTGCTTCTCCTTCTTTATTTTCAATCTGTTTAGGTAATCTTAATTTATTAATATCTCTTAGTAACCATACTATAAAATTTTCTAAGACTTTGCCATTTCCTGGGATACTGACATATGTGGACGTATTCAAGCCATTTTACTTTAAGTTCGCTATTTATCATCATTTCTTTTTTATTTCCTTTAGTGTTTTTTATTGGTTCATTTCTTTTTCATTACCTCACAGTGATTAATAAATTACATTCTTTTTATCCATTGTTTACTTGAAATAATCTGGAGTCTTCATTAAAAAGCCTCTTAAACATGATGTATCATCTTTTGTAGGAACTATTAATAGCATTAATCATCACAAATAATAATCACTTATTTAATTTATCTATAAATTTTATCATTTTTTGCATATATTTAATTCTATCCCATCGGTGAGGCAAAGATATAAAGTGTAACCTTAATGTTTATACCTTCATAATACCCTGAAATAAAAAAAAATAATAAATAAATAAATAAAAAGAAGATGCAAGATGATCTGGATGGTAGGAACCAAGGAATCTGACATATAACCAAAGAAACAAAAATGCCAAAATAGGGTTTAGGGACTTTCCACCATAGAAGACACTAATACACTGGGATTGGATATCTTGGGAGCATCATTTTGGATCTTATCACAATTCTCTTGAATTCTGGATCATAACCTGGAGTAGCTAGAAAATATAAGCCAGGAGCATCATTTTGGACCTTATCACAATTCTTTTGAATTCTGGATCATAACCTAGAGTAGCTAGAAAATATAAGCCACATATACTTATTGTCTACTACATCTGAAAAACGTTGTACATAAATAAATGTGTGTACAGCAATGCACATGACAAACACACGTATGACTACAGATAATTTCTCACCTGAAAATACCTGCCCACTTCTTTAGCAGAGTTTCACTATACTGGTCTCTGATTTCTAATAGCATGTCAAAAAGCTGATTTACAGGAAAACCATACACCTGAAACAAAATAAGATAATAGCTTCATTTTTCTAAGGTGATTTTTTTAAGCAACATAAGAGAGATTAGGCACTAAAAGACATTTTGTTCTTTGGATAGTAATTTAAATGAAACCAACATGGTAGAATCTTTCATTCCCATCTCATACCTAGTGTTTATCTCTCAAGAATTAAAAGATACACAGCAAAATATCTAAGCCAGTCAGTATACTGGGTCTACCATCAGCTAAGCCCTCCCTACAAATTCTCCTATAACTCTTACTACTTATAGCAGTCTTCAGAGAAGGGAGAGAAAGTGAAAATGCTACCAATCTCACCCACTTCTAATGCTATTTTACTAGATATAATATATGGTTCAAATCAACCATCATTATTCAAGATGGTAGGTAAAGAAACTACAAAATCACCCAGGCACCATATATGAATCAAGAACATTTTGAAAAACTAGTAAGTGTAGTAAGTGGTTCAATTAATTGATTTCACTTGAGAGAAAAAAGGGAGTGGGAACTATTTATGAAAACATAAAGGGTCAGGGTGTAGCCCAGGAAACGCTATAAAGAGATAAATAAATCTAGATCTAGGAAAAGAATAAACACAACTAAAAACTGAAAGATACTTAACCAAGTTTAAGTAGACAATAAAAAGATTTAGAGCTGATGAAACACTAATCTAGATGAGCATATGTCAACAGAAGTCACATACCTGAAGTGTGTCAGCAAAAAGTACAATGAGGTTCTTCAAATCTAATACAAGGTTTGGATCAGAGCAGTAGGACTAAAGGAAATAAATGACAAAGTAAGTAAAACATCTTAATTATTAAATATATAATTTAAGTGTTTAATGCTTAATCTGCTAAAGGTTCCCTAGAAAGAATCCAACACTTTTCTGGAATAAGGTAGCATCACATTCAGCCAGGGAAGAGCTGAATTGAGAGAGTTTGATAGCCATATTCTGTATTTTTAACACTTGGAATTTAAAAACACACTTCTAAATAACTATTTGGTTAAAAAAAACAATTGATACTATAGATTATTTTAAAATGAACAATAAAATACTGCATGTCAAAACCTATGGTAGGAGGCTAAAGCCACTTTCAAAATAAATTTATTTATTTTATGCAAACATTAGAAAACATGAAAGATTGAAAATAAACTAAGCACTGAACTAATGAAACTAGGGGACAAACCCAAATAAACCATAAGTAAATATAAGAATAAAACTGATGAAAATTAAAAGCAGAAATTAATGACAAAAAAGATATGAAAGATTTGATTAATTAA